CTACAGAAGCAAAAACGTCCTAGTTCTTGTTCTTACTGGTTTCAAACGTGACGATGGTGTGCCGGGCGCGCGCCCCCGGGCCTAGGGGCCTAGGCCCTAGGGGCCTAGGGGCCTAGGGCTTAGGGGCCTAGAACCTAGGAACCTAGCTACAGGTAGTACCGAAAAGTCTCGGACATTGTATCGTGCCTAACTACTACTTCTGCTACTACTACTACGACTGCTACTACTACTACTACTACTACTACTAGTGCTGCTACTACTACTACTACTACTACTACCACTACTTCTACTACCACCACTATATAACTGCACTGCTAATTGTCGTCACGAGTGGTTTTCCTATTGTTATTATTACGTGAGTTAAAACCTGGACCTTCCTCTGCAAAGGCTTGGACGCTCTTCTACGTGACCTACTGCTACTTGGTGCGCCGGGGAATGGAATTGGGGTCGGTTTTTCATGTCGAGGTAATGTAGAAGCAGGACAATCGTTACATGTAGTATGAAATGCACCAGAACCGAAAAGGTAGTCAAATAGGCCCATGCTTGGCAAAAAATGGATGAGGACTTGCCACACTCCAGACCCCAACCTAGGCACCTTATGCCAGAAACCTTACATTGTAATGCTACTTGGCATCCCTCTACAAGTAGGCTTTTCGAAGTTGAGGGACTTAGAACTAGCTTAACTGTATTTATTACCAGGCCAAGTCTAGTTATGAGAAGCTTTAGTCTGATAAATCTACTTTTGAGTTCGCTAAGTATATAGAGACTTCGAGGACTTATTACTCAATTTGGGTGAGACAGAAGTAATTTATAACTTCAAGTTAAGTAGCAATCTTTAGCTAGCACCTACTTAGTAAATACTTATGGAATACTTAGGGAATAGTTAGGGAATAGTTAGGGAAGAGTTGGGGAAGAGTTAGGGAAGAGTTATAGAACTTAAGAAACACTTTTTTGGGAAATGAAAAATGAGAAAAAATCAAGGATAAAAGATCAATAGATAAATCGTTTGTTGCTTATCTTACTGTGGTCCTGGCGGTGCTTTTTGGCTCAACACAGCACGCCGCAGTAGCATCATTAGTGCTGAAAGCCTGTTTTTGTGTGCTCAGTTTTTG